GATTTTTAATTGTTGGATCAGCCTAGAAGGTCATGACCTCTGAGGAGAGACAGGCCTACATCACCATTTTAAGGAGGGTAGGGACATTTCATGCTTTTAATATTTGTATACACTACTGTTAAAATCAGTATTATAGCAGTAATATTGTAAAATAATGATTACAATATATTTTTTAATTATTTAAAAGTTATTCATGTGATGCAAATCATCATTACTCCAGTCTTCAGTGTCACGTGATCTTTCAGAAATCATGCTCTGATTTGCTGCTCAAGAAACACTTAATATTAATATCAATGTTGAAAACAGTAGTGCTGCTTCATATTTCTGTGGACATCGTGATTTTTTTTTTTTCAGAATTTTTTGAGAAAAAGAGAGTTCAAAAGAACAGTTTATTTGAATCAGAAATCTGTTGTCACATTATAAATGTCTTTACTGTCACTTTTGATCAATTTTAATCGAGCCTTGCTGAATGAAAGTATTAGTTTCTTTTTAACAAATCTTACTAAATCAGCGCTTGTGTTGCTGGTGTGTCAGCACAGTGTTCTGAATGACTGTCCAACATTGACACCAACTGAATGAAATACACAAGACCAATTCACGTCATCTCACTGCGAACTAGTTGTGCGAGAGCACAAAGAAAGCTTTATAATGTCACGCAATGAACATTCGGTGCCTGATAATGCAGTTCATGGTTTGTGTGAGAGATCTGTTTATATTCTGTCGCACAATTCAGTGCAGTTGGCGTATAAGAAACCAAAGAATGGCGCAGACTACATGAACTCTCTCTCTCCCTCCCCCTCTCTCTCTCTCTCTCTCTCTCCCTCCCCCTCTCTCTCTCTCTCTCTCTCTCTCAGGTTACAGAGTAGCCTAACAGTGAAGAAACATTTAATTAAAGATTTAGAGCATTTTTAAGGTTTCTACAGAAGCATCAATCAAACTAAATGCACACAAAAGAGTTGAACAATCATGCACTTTATTTACCAGAGAGGAGAGGAGGAACACCAGTTAGGGCCGTTATGGGACTGTGTAAGATAATGAAAACATGCACACACACACACACACACACACACAAAAAAAAAACTGATGGTTTTATCCAGTTATATTTTTAGGGTTATTGTACTGAACAGATTCACTGTCTTTGCCATCTTGTTTATTCAATTGAACAGGCCATTGTTTTGAATCGGTCACGTCGTCTGCTTTGATGTTTTTCATGTTTTTCAAAAATCTGAACTGTGTTTTGCATTTGAAGAATTACAGTTACACTTTATTTCGATAGTTTGCTTTAGACATTCTACTACTAACCATAAGTAACTTTGCAAATACATGTCAACTAACTCTTATTAGAGAAGTAGTAGACTTAGGGTTAAGCTGACATGCAAAGTAAGTCTGTAAAATGTCTGTTGCGGAACCATCAAAATAGTGTTAGTATCACGCAGATATAGTCTAATACTTTAATGAGTTGACATGTTGTTGCAAATATAAATTATAATAAATTATATTATTCATTAAAAATAATCAAATTATTTGTTAAAAAAATGCCTGTTTTCCCTTTTTTTTTTGTAAAAATTGAATGGGGTCGCTAATGACCCGAGGTGTGTAATAGTGTAAGTATATTTTTTTTCTGCACAAAAATAATTTAATCTTTGAGGACTGAATAAAAACAATTCACCTTTATTCCACAAGGTGGCAATGTCTGGTACACAATGATGAAGTGACGTTTCACTCATATATAGTTACCGCATGTAGAAAACAAAAGAATAGGAAGTATCATCAACAAAACTTAAAATAGCTCAGTGATTTACTGCAGAGCAACACAATCTTAGTCTCACTGTCACTTGTTGATGGATCTGGTGAAGAAGCTGTCAGCGATCAAAATACTGATTTAGAAGATGTTATAAATGATAGTTTAGAGAATATGTTTGAGATTGCGAATATGAGCCAGATGCTGAATGTACTGGGAAAGCTCTGATGAGAACAGTGATGATGGTATAAAACATCTGCTCACACTGAACCCTTCCAAGCTCCAAAAGGTAACAAAATATGCTTTATTTTAGTCTTCTGTTAGCCTGGATGCCAGCCCGAACCCCGCCCACAACATTTTTTGGTCGGGAAGTTCGGTCTGGACTCGATCCATCGAGGAGTAATTATGATCGGTTCAGAAATGGTCGGGCCAATCAAATTGCCAGGGCGGGCTTTATACCATGATGGACAGATGATCTGCAGTTACGTAATCATCACGTTATCAAAGAGCGCTTGGGTTGAACTGGTTTCCCTCAAAGATGACTGCAGCTGGAGAATTGAGATGTAGCCTATAATTCCGCTATCGCGTCTGTCGTAAAAGAAATCGACAGCGCATTCATTTTAAAAGACGAACAGAGAACTGCAATCAAGGCATTTGTCGATCGGAAAGATGTTTTTGCCGTCCTTCCTACGGGATTCGGCAAAAGTTTATTTTATCAGCTGGCTCCGATGGTCGGTAAGAAGATGGGACGCAATGAAAACCCCGTGGTCGGTGTGGTTTCTCCTCATGGAGGACCAAGTTAAAGAAGCAACGCTCTTTTACTACTTCTTCCAGCGTGCGTGCAGTTGAGTTCTGTTGACAACTATGCGTAGCTCAACATATGTCACTTACTGCGTTGCTCTGATTGGTTGTAGGTCTATCCAATTGAGTGCAGAGTTTGTTTGTTTTTTCCTGACTAGAATATGAGTATGACGAAGTCAGGCTAGTCTTCTGTACTCTATCAGGAGATTTATATTATTGCTACAGGTCTCTAAAGACCCGAATATGTAATAATGATTGGTGAAACATTCATGCATTTAAGGGTTATTAATATCCACTTCATTGGATGGCTGCATTAACATGGAAACATGTTAAATGAATGTAATTTCATTGTCAACCCAAGTGGGATATTTTCTCTTACTAAATTAACTTCTCTTCATCATGTTTGAAGCTTCAGGGTTTTTTTTTTTTTTTTTTTTTTTTTTAAACCTGCTGTTTGGGTGTTTTAGTGGATGTAGGCTAAGTCAGTTCTCATCACATTCAGGGACTAGTTTGCAAAAGTAGGTTTTGGACAAAATCGGCCATAAAAAATTTGGCCAGATGGTAGTACAAAAATCGAGGAGAGGTTATCAAAGTATGAGCCCGATTGGCCCATAGGTGGCGCCACAGCAACACGATTTACTAAAATGGCTATAACTCCTCAGCCGTTTGACCTAGAATCAAGATTTTCACATCCCTGTGATCCCTGGCTCAGGACGAACAAGATGTATATCTCGGATTCGCGATTTGAGCCTCGGAAAATTTTTTATGGCCGATTTTGTCCAAAACCTACTTTTGCAAACTAGTCCCTGGTTTTTTGCCTGATCGGAACCAAACTGGTGCAGAAATGTTCTCTGGAGTGAGAGGATCAATAATTATCGAAAAAAAGTTGAAAATTTGCATTTGGTTGGCTATAACAGGGTCATTTAGGAAATGGTTCAGGGCAAAATGCAGTCAAAAGCCTATAAATCCTGAAGAAAAAGTCCGAAGTTCACCAAAATTGATGAGCATATGTGTCCTAACATGCTGAGGAAGCATGCAAAGTTTCATGGAGATCGGACCATAGGTGGCGCTATAACCGCCAAAAAGGTCGCTTATTGTATTTGTAAGGATTTTTATTAGGTGTTCAAGCACAAAGTGCTGAAAACCTATTGTAATTGTAAGGATTTTTATTATTATTTTTCTTCTGCCGTAAAACGCATCGTGCAGCCCAAACCGTAAGTGCTGGAGCCTTGAAACTTTGCCAGATGGTAGTACAAAAATCGGAGTAATTATGATCGGTTCAGAAATGGTCGGGCCAATCAAATTGCCAGGGCGGGCTTTATACCATGATGGACAGATGATCTGCAGTTACGTAATCATCACGTTATCAAAGAGCGCTTGGGTTGAACTGGTTTCCCTCAAAGATGACTGCAGCTGGAGAATTGAGATGTAGCCTATAATTCCGCTATCGCGTCTGTCGTAAAAGAAATCGACAGCGCATTCATTTTAAAAGACGAACAGAGAACTGCAATCAAGGCATTTGTCGATCGGAAAGATGTTTTTGCCGTCCTTCCTACGGGATTCGGCAAAAGTTTATTTTATCAGCTGGCTCCGATGGTCGGTAAGAAGATGGGACGCAATGAAAACCCCGTGGTCGGTGTGGTTTCTCCTCATGGAGGACCAAGTTAAAGAAGCAACGCTCTTTTACTACTTCTTCCAGCGTGCGTGCAGTTGAGTTCTGTTGACAACTATGCGTAGCTCAACATATGTCACTTACTGCGTTGCTCTGATTGGTTGTAGGTCTATCCAATTGAGTGCAGAGTTTGTTTGTTTTTTCCTGACTAGAATATGAGTATGACGAAGTCAGGCTAGTCTTCTGTACTCTATCAGGAGATTTATATTATTGCTACAGGTCTCTAAAGACCCGAATATGTAATAATGATTGGTGAAACATTCATGCATTTAAGGGTTATTAATATCCACTTCATTGGATGGCTGCATTAACATGGAAACATGTTAAATGAATGTAATTTCATTGTCAACCCAAGTGGGATATTTTCTCTTACTAAATTAACTTCTCTTCATCATGTTTGAAGCTTCAGGGTTTTTTTTTTTTTTTTTTTTTTTTTTAAACCTGCTGTTTGGGTGTTTTAGTGGATGTAGGCTAAGTCAGTTCTCATCACATTCAAACGGATCACAGTAACATTTACATGATTCACTAACACAGTAACATCCACTTTATCATTTTAAACCTACAGTTTTGTTTTTCCTTGAAAAGACTATTTATGCAAATAAATGACATTTGGTTCGATATTTTAATGACATTGCCACTGTAGCAAGGTTATAGCTACCATTTTAAAATAATTTTTTATTTTCTTTGTTTATAGCCTACATTCGTATACAGTAGCCTATGTAGGCCTATCTGAGTAGAGAGAGGGAGGTGCAGATCATATTACACTCAGACAGTGTGTGACGTATTTCTCTCCGTTCTTCTCCGTCACTTGGTTCAAATGTTGGATCCCTCTTCTCATCTCTGCGGTTCTGTCTCTCTCTCTCTCTCTTTGTGTAATTATTGATTACACATTCGGCATATGATGATTATATGACACTTATGAATTCAGTAAAACAGGTAAGATACAAACTTTATTCATTGTCCGTATAATAGTTTATTAACGGATGGGGACAGTTGCAGTGCGGATGCGGCATTTCTGCCGGGGGGATTTTCTGTAACGTTAACTGTTAGGCTAATAACTTATGAATTCGGTTGTGTGTCCTGTATTGTATAGCCTACTTCATACTCAGATGAGTGATATACTGTACTGAGCTGTGCTACAGTATGTTGGTGTTTTTAGAGTTTAAGATATGACAAGTTTTGCCGATATCTCGTTCCGCATTGAAGACAATAGAATGTGTTGTGTTGAGTTTGCTAGTGTTTCGTGATGCTCTTACTGCGGTCGTTCACTTCAGGGGCTGCAAAACAGTGTCTTTCTATGAATATTAACTGTTAACTGCAAAAGTGCTTCGAACGGATTATTACTTTGTATTATTATCTGAATTCCTCATTGACAGACGCACTAAATATGAAAAAGTCTACAACGCTAAGACTTGGTAACACTTTATAATAACTTTCACGTCAACAAATATTCTAACATTAAGCTTTACTTTAGAGATCTGACCATTTATTGTGGTTTTGCAGCAGTTACATTGTTGTAAGTACTGATCTGTTAAATATTATAATTCATATTTGTAATAAAATCCATTATGTGAACGTATGTATGTGATTACAATTGCAAATGCATAAACTATCATTTGAAAACAAATAAAAGCAATTTAATATTATGCACCAAAACGACATTGCAGCCAGGAACGTTGTGTTTTAATTTACTGTATGTTGTGAACTTACCTTCAGTATTTATGGTGGTCTTTAAACATCTCATACCTGATACAATGTCCATAGAATCTGATGTATGAGAGTAGAAAGAGGAACAGCATTTATTTGTTTTATGAAACGAAGCATAACAAAATAATGTATTGCCTTAATTTACCTCCTGTGATAGTGTCATCCACTTCAGCTGCTTAAATCATTCAGGGATCACAAATTGTTCAGCTCTTTTCTAGTGAACTCGGTTAACTGAAACAAAGCGGCGAGCATGTTTAAATACATCTCATCATAATGTGTCGCCCACTGGGCAGCTACACACACACACACACACACACACACACACACACACACACACACACACACACACACACACACACACACACACACCTACCTTCTGGCAACAGACTTTGGCACACACTGCAGCAGCTGCGGTTTATACCAGCTGGAAACACATGTTTGTGCTGCATGCATAATTTATAGTCTGCACTATACACAAAAATGCTGGGTTATAAAACATTGCACAACTCATGTGTCAGCCTATAGGAACATGTTGGATATATCCCCAAAAAATCCCATTTAAAAAATCTTTTAAGTTACAAGGCGCCACCCTTGTCATTATAATTAACATCTTTTGTTAACCCCCCATGAATATTATAGTGAATCGCAGCATTGGCACAGAGCCTGGATGTAATTGTAATCTCTTTGTAGTTCTACATCTTTTTGCCTCAAACACTCGTACGAACATATTTTATTCTCACGTTTGAACTAAATGCACTAGTATTGCCGTGTTCAGCATAACCTGCTTTATGAGGCACGCAAATGCTTTAGTAACTTTAAGGCTCATAAAGCAGTGTGATTAAATGCATGGCTCTAATACAGCCGGTGTTTAAATGGGACAGACTGACTCATCAGCATGAAGTCTTTACATTATTTTCAGATTTTGAGGCACGAGCAGCCTTAAAGGGTTAGCCTAGTTCAACCAAAAATTAAAAAATTGTCATTAATTACACTCATGTCATTCCAAACCTGTTAGACTTTAGTTTATCTTCGGAACACAAATGAAGATATTTTTAATAAAATCTGAGCGATTTCTGTCTCTCCATTGACAGCTATACGCAACTACAACTTTGTCACTTCAGAAAGCTCATAAAGAGATCGTAAAACTAATCTATATGAATTGAGTGGTTTAGTCCAATTATCTGAAGAGACACGATCACTTTATACGATCAACAGATTTAATTTAGGCTTTTATTCAAATTCATATTCATATTCAATTATTAGGGGAAAAAAAACAATAGTTGTGTGCATATCTGGGTAGATATTTTGACAAAACAATGGCACTGACATATTTTTAGATATGCCAGTGCAATTTGCATTCAGTTAAAACAGCTCAAACATGCATTTTTTAGCCTGGGACTAGCAGTGTTTCCGCGGGGTCTTAAAAAGTCTATAATTTTAAAATCACAATTGAAGGCCTTAACAAGTCTTAAATTTGCTGAAGTATTGTGTTCTAGGTCTTAAATCATTTTAAACGGCTCTTAATTTTCCTACGTCCTCCCGCAGCGCTTTGGAATGTGTGTTTTTTTATTGCGTGGTGTTATAGTTCCTTATTTCGCTAGTCCAAAAATAATTTGCTGTTTTACGACTACAAAATTGACCAACATGCAACAGCCAATCAGCTTTGTGCATCCATCTAAGCTGTCTTCAGTACTGTTCAGTTTCAATAAATTAATTTACTTTGCAAGTAATTTTGAGACTCTGCGTTTCCTTTGTACATTTTTTTTATGGTGTGATATAGGTCTTAAATTTAATTCATAATGGTCTTAAAAAGGTCTTAAAAAGTCTTAAATTTGACTTTGTGAAACCTGCAGAAACCCTGACTAGGCTTAAGCCTTGTCTGTGAAACCGGGGATAGATTTTGTTTAATGGCAGTTTTCCTTAATAGAGCAAATAAACACTAAATTTGCATAAATGAAGAAAAAAATCGGCCAATTTTCTTGTAAAAAAAAATGTAATAGGCCATGAAAAATCATGATCGGATAAATTTGGCATTTGTGATTCAGTGCCAGAATGTTTCCAAATTAACGAGACTTATGTTCATGTGTTTACATAGCTGTCCATGCATTTTTCCCATGCTTGCATACTTTTGTTTTGATAGTTAATTTGACCATCCTGATTCTGCTAGTGTGACTCTGCTGTCCAAACAAGAACCTTGCTAGGACTGTTATCTGTAATGGCCTATGCTCCTTTCTTGACCCGTGCTGGAACGACAGCACCAATTCAGAGTTTTGAAGTGGGAGTTTGGTTGGCAGCTTTGACATTGGGCACGCTCCTCTGAAATTATGAAGCAAATGTCTGGGAAGAACCCAAACCCTCCATGGCTGGATGCAGGAATCAATGGCTTAATTAAAGCTTCATTATTTGTGTTGGTGGACCGTTTCACCAGAAACGAACCAAATTTACTGTATACTTTTCCTTCCCTGGCATGCAGACATCTACCTGCGTTGGCTGGCGTGTCCGCGTTGACCTCTATGTGGTTTGGGCGCTGCTGGCGCACCGACCGCTCTGAACCTCAGATCAGCAGGGATTTACTGTGTCCCCGTGGGTCCTGCTGACCTTGCGAGCGCTACTACTGTGATACATTGAGTAGTATGAGTAAACAATAACATTGAATGAAGAGAATAATCTCTATGTTACGTACAGGAGATATTTTATTTAATTAATGGTAAAAATGAATGTTCTTTAATGGCTTTTACATGCTCTAAAGCGTTCCAAAACTCTTGTGTAGGTAGTACTACCATTTATTATGCTTTAATTAGTTTTTAATTGTATCAATAAGAGTGTTTTGGGTAATTTCATGTACACTTCAGTTTGATGTCGCTCATAAATTACATAAATTCATTCAGAATCTATATTATATAATTTGCATTTACCTTAAAGAGTACTAAAAATTCATTTGCATCTCTTGGCTGAAAAGGTTTTTGAACATTTTTGCTTCAGTGAGTTGTTGACTCAAGAAACCCTTTGAGCAATTCAGTCTGACTTGTGAATGAATAAATCTTGGTTCAATGAGCCAGTGAGTTTTTGATTCAAGAACTGCTCGATAAGTGATTCAGACCGGTTTGTGAACAAAGCATTCTTGGTTCAGTGAGTTAGTGGGTTGTGTTTAAGTCAGTTTTTTTCATGCCCTTTCCATCGCTAACTTCCCTCCGTCTCGTTCACTCGAATGTACGTCATTGCTTACGTTGCATGAGTGCCCACTACTTGCGGAATTCTTGAAATGGGTTTAAATGGAACTCCCTAAACCTTTGAAAATTTGCAATCTGCTATGGAACTGATTCATTACAGTTTTTTACTTATGAATTTGTTTTACACACCATTCTATAGGCCTGTATGTGATTGGGGTGTTTGGTAAAATTACAATACAAGAAACTATGCCCCAGTTTCACAGACATGGCTTAGATTAAGCCAGGTTTAGGCCTTAGTTCAGTTAGGGCATTTAAGTGGCTTTTATAAACATGCCTTAGGAAAAAAAAACATTACTGTTGTGCATCTTGAGACAAAACAATGGCACTGACATATTTTAAGATATTCCAGTGCAAGTTGCTTTCAGTTAAAACAGCTCAAAAACATGAGTTTTAGTCTCGGACTAAGCTTAAGCATTGTCTGTGAAACCGGGTAGTGTAACTGTGTAAAAAAAAAAACTGTCAGCTTAAGGTAGCTATAAGTATTATGCAGTTAAATGTCAAAATACGTCCAATATCATACAGTAGATTTGTGTGGGGTGGGGTAATTTAAAGGTTAGTTCACCCAAAAATGAAAATTATCCCATAATTTGCTCACCCTCAAGCCATCCTAGGTGTATACTTTATTCTTTTAGCCAAACACAATCGGATATTCAAAAAATATCCTGGCTCTTCCAAGCTTTATAATGGCCCAAAAGCCCCAAAAAGTGCATCCATCCATCATAAAAGTAATCCATACAGCTCCAGGGGGTTCTGAAGTGAAGCGATGCCATTTTGTAAGAAAAATATCCATATTTATACATTTATAAACTATAATCACTGGCTTCTGGTAACGGCCGTACACGAGTCTAGTTCTGGTGGAAGAGTGAACTCTGACCTGCGCGATCTGCTGTGGTGTCACAATCGTGTTGCATTGTGGTCTATGGATCTGCCTGAATGATATTGAGTAAACTTGCTCCCTCAGTTAAAATCGAGGGGTCGAGGGTCTGTCCAAATAAACTT